TGTAAGTGTAAGTAATGCCCTCATCTTTTAATAATTCTTTGAGGCATGTTTCCAGTAACTCATCCGATCCATTCCTTGTTAGTTTTTGTCTCACATCTTTAACAAAACAGAAAGCTCCAAATTCAGCTTTCAGCCTGTCAAATACAGCTCTAGTAAGAGTGGTCTTGTCCATACTGCCCATACCCCATATTCCTAGAATGCGAACTTCACTTAGTAACTCTTCAATTTTCTAAGTCTGATGATCAACCCCAACTAATCCTTCCACATGTAAGGATAACTTGTTATTCAGTTTGCTCAAAATATCTTTGACAATCTTTTTGATAAGTTCATATTCGGGCCTGGCACAAATATAAATTAACAGAATGATTATGTTTAATCCAAAGAAAGAAAACAATGAGTGAAAAATGAAAAGAATTAGCTACCTGATATTCTTTGAATCCCACCCAGATAGACTTGTTGATTTGATTAAAGCATTTCTCCACTCCTGCACTCTTTCTCGGTTGTGCTTTGATCTCTGCTTAAGCTTAGCAAATCCATCTCCAAAACTCCCATTTTGTTTCCAAACATTTGATGGATCTACGTTGTAGAAAATAGGGATGACAATCCTTTGGTATTTATCCCTACATTTCATAATGTGAACGAGCTCGTCCATACACCAAGTTGAAGAAGCATAATCTTTGGAGAAAATAATTAAAGATATCTCTGATTCTTCTATTGTTTTCAAGAGAATTGGTGAGACATGATCTCCTTTTTGGAGCTTGTGATCCATAAAAGTTTGAATGTTTGCTTTGCAAAGTGCTTCATAGAGATAACTTGAGAAAGTCTCACGGGTGTCCTCTAAAGCTAAGAAAGACGTCATACTTGGTTGTAGGAGGAGCAAAAATGATATGAGAAGTAGAAGAAACGGTCGAAATCGAATCAACAACATCTTTACAACTACAGATAGAAAGAATTCATGAATAATAAATATTAATTGGGCAATCAACAAGCCATATAAAGTGAACATTTTTATTTTTAACCCAAAAAAAATGTGAACATTTATAGAAGATGTTACCTATCATCAAGTGAAGAGATTAGTCTGATGGCTTTAGAAATTGCTACAGCCAGCAAAATCAATACAGCTTCTATGAGCATTAAAGCAACGGTTGCATCCATGTGAGTGATTCTAGTTTCTTGCTTCAACCTTAAACTAATGCTTCTTTTTGGGCTTTACCTTCTCCGGGGCTGGTAAGGTTTAGCTCTTGATGATTAACGTGATAAAAAGAGCAGGAAAAATATTTAGCAAGGGGGACCAAGTTACTGAACTCAAACGATCAACAGCATTTTGATGGATGATTGATGTGCTAAAATGAAGAACGTGTCTTCTTTATGGAACGAACAGTGCGAAAGACTTCATTACGTGGTCAACTATCTCGTCGCCAAGTTTACTTATTTATTTGACGTTTTTTATCACCAACTTTATTTTTAAAAAAAGTACATGTGTTGAAGGTGTAGTAGGCCATGTGTTAACGGTTGTTATGCTTTAATTTCTTTTCTTTTTTTTTTTTTATCAAAAGAAGTTGGGCTAAATAAATTGATGTGTGTGTGTGTATGATTTTCTTTTTTTGTTTTTTTAAAAAATATCTAGTTGAATTATAGGGACTTTCTTCTTTGCCACCTGAATTATAGCGACTTACCTGTAGATAGGAGCTGCGCTTTTGCTATTGTGGCACCATAGCCTAAAATTGTTTTACAATTTTCTATAAAAATACCCTAAAATTGTGCTTTAATTTTATCAGATTTCATATGCTGCATGCCCATACATAGTGTTGTAAATATGGTTATCAGATCTCACGCCTTTATGTTTCAATATCTGCAATTACAGTAAAAGTATAAAAAACTGGAAGAATTTTATGCATAATAACGAAATGGGCTTTTTTGATAAAATAAATAAATATGTCGTTTACTTCATTAAAAAAGAAATCTGAATAGAATAAACGAAGAGCTTAGTCAATAGATAAAGTGCAACCATATGTTTGAAGGTTTTAGGACTTCGTTCTTCAGAAGTTAAAGTAAGGTAGCTAAGGAGGAGATTGAATCAACAGCATTAGGAGAGGGGGGGGGCGGAGATCAAATGGCTTGCAGGCAAAACAGTAGAAGAATGATGGATCAATGGGAAAAAGAGAAAGAAATAACCTGGATGTGGATTGTGGAGGGAAGCGAAAGAAATAGCTCTCACAAACTTGAGTCTCAAAAATGGCAACATCGATCATCAGCTCCAGAATTTGCAGAGAATTGGTTTCTCTTCAAACAAGTTGTTCAGGTTCTTCAAAGATCAACAAATGCCTCCCTCACATATTTGTAGTCAACAAGTCAAGTGAAGTCGTGCTGTGTGGATTGCCGGCGTGTTGCTTCATTGTATATAATTTATACCGCACCACCTCTTTGCTTCATTGTATCATCATTTGACCATTTTCTTGTTTAGAGGGTGAGGGCGTTTCTCCTTTTCTCTTTCCCACCTTTTTTTCCTCTGTTTTCCAAGACAACTTTTATCAAAACTAAATAAAAGAGAAAATGACAAAATAACTATTAAATTTTAAAATGATAAATAAGTGATTTTGACAGATTTTGAAATCTATTACAAGAGTAGTCAAAGTCATTCCAAGAATAGTCAGTATGACCTATTTATCTTTTCAAAATTTAATAGGTGTTTTTCTGTTATTTTTCCTAAACAACAAAATACATAGTTAAGTGGGTCTCTGCATAGTGGTATTACATGACAGAATAAGAAGGCCCAATAAACTGCGTATAAAACATTCCAGAAATAAAAGAAAAACTAAAGACCAAATGGAGTAAAGATGAGTTGACAACAAAGGTTGATCTAGTTTAATACTCCTTCTGGTTCAAAATATAAACTAAATTTTGTTAGAGAGATTTGATTTTTTTTTTATAAGATAACATTTACTTTTGTCTAAGTATTAATGAGTTTTTTCCAATTTTATCCCCATACATTCTCTTTCCTCTTTGATTCATTTGTTACATTATTCTTTTCATTAATAAGGGCATATCCAAAAAACAAAAAACATGGCTTACATATTTATTGTTTCAAATTAATTTTAACTAGCTTCTTGATAAACGTAAATAGATAACGTTTAGCTTATATTTTGAACCGAAGGGAGTAAAGAGTTGGCTCATAACCCATAGAGTCATGAGTTCAAATTCCGTTGTTGATGTGAGGCTCTTGTTAGTAGGCAGTCTATAAGTATCTTCATACACTCACAAAAAACTAGTTGCCTCCCCATGACTCACCATAGTTCGTGCAAATGGAAGATGACGACCCTGAAAAATGAAAAAACCACAACAGCAAAATAAAATCACCCAAGAAAAACAGCCATGCTTAAGCAAGAAACACAACAACTGAACTGAAAATAGAACAGAACCAAAAAAACAAAAAAGCAAACTAAAGAGTAACACCAAGATGTATAAGCTCTTCTATTTAGAATCAGAATGAGTTGTTAATAATTCAATATAATGAAACTTTTGGGGATTATACAACATATACATTTTGGTGTTTCTATTGTCTCACCTCTTTCTAATACTCCTTATAATACCCCAACCTCTTGGTTATTCTTTTTCTTTTAATCATTATATTTTACATAAAATTATAGATGCTCAAGCTAAGTATGGTTATTATAGATCTCACGCGCCTATGTTTCAATAGATCTACAAAGTAGTTAGCTAAATGACGGCAAGACAGAGAGATTCAACACAACAACAAGAAGCTAGCTAGCAGAAATTTTGCAGAATTCTTCTGTACGAAAAAAATAAAACCATAAAAGTTCCAGAAAATGCTGGTAATTATAAAACTGGAGATCAATGGGATCAAGCAATGCAAGTGGATTATGAAAAAAGAGAATACGCCATGAGATAGTTTTCGCTTTCATTTAGTCAGCTGGAGCTCATTAATTACAAGAGATTACTTGGTTAATTAGGAGATTCCTTTAGTTATTTGAGGAATGTTACAGTGAGGATACTTAAAAAAATTAATTTGCTTTAGATTAAAAAAAATCTTATCAATATAAATAGCTTGAGAAAGGTACTTATCAATCACCTGATCACGCACAGCTAACAGAATGACATAACATGAAAACTACTCTTCACAGTCACGTCATATGATAATCTGAGTTCCTAATAATTAATACAGTACTCTATCCGATTGAACTTCCCAATAATTTATATATTTACTCTATCCAATTCTAAAATATACTTAACTTGAGTAGGACTGATCTGACCTTGGTTCAATCATGATCTAACTATCAATCCTTAAGTCAATGTCTCCATCTGCTGTAATCGAGTTCGACTTTTAATATCTTGTGATTAAGTTTCAAAAATTGCTGCTAGTACTAATGCTACTTCAGCTTAAATATGAATTTTGGTCCTAAGAATATAATTAAGTAGAACTGGGCTATGATGGTTTTCATGGGTGGAGCTCAAAACATGGAATCGTGTACAAAACACAACAAAGAAATGAAAGGCCCCCACCCCAAAAAAAAAAAAAAAAGAGGAAGAAAAATATGCCCTGTACTCGAGAAATTGAAATGTAATAGGAAACGGTTCAATAAAAGTTAAAATAGCCAATAATTCAATTATTTATGAGGTTGCTACAATGTCGTGTGTTGACTAATTTAATGATCCAACTAATTTCGTAACATTATATGTTATCCTACTAATATGTTTTGAAAAGAAAAATAGTTATGCCAAGTTTCTAATATTTATTATGTTGAATTTTTCGATCACACATCACCATGTGTTTTATATTGGAAAGTTTAATATAATGGATATAAGGAATTTAAGGCAAGTGTTTTTGGAAATGTATTTTCTCACACACACATATATATATTGGCCTGACAATTCATATCATCACTCCAACTATTTATATAAAAAAAACAAAACAAAGTTTTGATAAAACAAAATGTTAATATACAATAATGAAAAACTAAATGAGAGACTGATTTAAATAATAATAATTAAAAAATCACCACCACTCTCCAAAGTCAACGATTAAGTCACAATAATCAGAATTGTGGTTTGACCTGAAATTATTAGATCGACAGCTGAACCAGTGATTATAAGGATATGTATAGGGATGTTGTGGCGTCATCTCCCAGCAATTATATAAGACAAAGAAAGAATGATCATCACGTAAAGAGAGCTTTACATCTAAATGAGGCTGAATCGTCCTTCTGCAAGAATCATGAGAGAGTGCAATTAGTGATTTGAGGATTGAAAGCTGAGGAATGCTGCAATCTGCATTATTATTTCCAATAATAATATCACTCTCTTTTAATGTCAGTCTCGTCAATAATGACCAGCGAGTGATGTTGTTGGGAACCCTTATAGCACTGATGTGACAACCATATTCCATTAACTCATTACCATCATCATCCTCTTCTTCATCTTCCATTAATGTCGTCGCGATCACTATATAGCCGTTATCAGTAATCATTTTTCTTCTTAATGGCCCCATCATCACACCCCTTTCTCCTCTGTCACCTCTCAGCTTCAAATAAAGCGAAAAGTCAGGGGCGAAAAGATTATAACGGGAAGAATAAGCAACATCGTATGCATGGTGTTGCTTGAAATCATCCCCATACTCAATTGGACTCTCTAACCATTCAAGTTTCCTCACAAATGGAAGTAAAGACGCCACACTTCGTATCCCCATCCTCAATTCTGCTATCTCTGCCAATGGCATTACCACATGTTTGTATCGAACACCAGAGATGATCTTGCCACATACGAACAGCTTCATTGTCACTTTATGGAATGACAAACTAGGAAGATCCAAATAATTGTACACAATCACTAACCCTGAACTTGTTCCTTTAATACTGCCCCCAAAGTTTATCTGCACTGGCCCACTATCATCTATGCCTAATCGGACATTCTTTTCCAGGGCAGTTGAAGAATGGATTAGACGTAAATTCACACAACCCTCAAGATCCATGACTTCAATCTTAGGGGCCTGAGACAGATCTGGGAGTGCACTGAGATTTTTTGAATCGGACAGATTGATTTGCTTCAGATTTGGAAAATGCTGGAAAAAAAGCAGATAGTGTTAAATAAATTAGATAACTACACGTACGTACAATTTAATCAAGAATTTCTCGCCTGCCAATTACAAGATCAATGGAACAAGTTAAAATGAGCATCCAAAGCTCATCTCATCAGGACAATCCAAATTTAATTTCTTTTTCATTTTTATTTTTTTAAAATAAATATTTTAATGGGTATAGAAAATATTTTAACTATCACTTTTTTAATAAATAATTTTTGTTTTTTAAAAATAATTAATTAAAATATTAAATCAGGATCGTACAAATTAGATCTAAACAGTCTAGAGAAGATGAGCTTTGGATGCTCCAAACCGGTTCTAAGATCAATTGGATATTCCCAACAAAAAGTACAACCAGTATATTTAACAATCAATTTATAGGGCGCAAAGCAAACATTGCATTGTCAAGCATTTGGTCAATATTTGATGCGAGATCTTACAATCAGACAAGAACAAAATAATTAAGACATGTGAAAAATGATAGGTACCTGATTTTCACCCCAAAGTTGTCGGATATTACTATTACGCATCTCAAGTGTCAGAAGATTCTCAGCACAGAAATGCAATGGGACATATGGCAATGGATATTCTTCCCAACTAACAAAACGTAATTCTTCTGGAAGATAATCCATATCTTCACAAATATTCAACTTTGAAGGCTTTCTATGATCAGACTTGTAAACTTTAAGGAATATCAAATTATGCATCTTTCGAAAATTATTAGCCCTCAATGTAATCCTTTTTATCTTGCTTGCATCCAATGACATGCATCGAATTGCCTCGGTCCCCTAGTAATAGAAAATCAAGGGACGAAGCAGAATTATCATTGGCCTAAATTAAAAAATGATCAAAAATACTGTAGAACAATTAAATATTTCTACTCTTCGAAACATCCAACTTAATAACGATATTATGTGTATTTTATTCCGGAATTCTTACAATTCTATGTTTTCCTGGTGAATTTCTCAAAAATCATAAACATACTTACACTTTATAGCATGGAACCACCTTATAGCCTCGCCTTAATATACACTTTGTTTGTTTTCATTTTTCATACACTTTGGTAATAGCATGCACACGCAGGCGTGTGGATATACACACTTAAACTACTCCAATTAATCAGTAAGAAAAATCAGTCTTGTGAGGATATATTTCATTTATCAGTTCATGAAAATCCTTTGTAGACCAATTTTATCATTTAAAATAACACATGTTACAATAGTCCTAATTTATATTTAAAGTTTGGATAGATGATCGAATAGATTATATTACATCCCAATGCAACTTCAGTCATTTAAATCGAGAAAGATTTTCTTATGGGAATATTCTAATCAGAGAAAATAAAACAGAAGAACTTCAAGATAAATGTTGACACTTGCCACCAAAGATTTTAAAAGAGTAAAAAGCATGATATATGAATATGACAATTGGGACGATAAAGAAAATGAGATAAAATAATAATAAACATAATAATTAAATATATCCTTACCTTGTCAGAAATGAAAAAATCATAAATGTCCTCGTGCCTCCATAGTCGAATAGCAGTTTTACGTCTAGAGTATAATTGTTGGCTAGAAATTTCAAGGCCCATTTCTCTGACAAGATCGTGCATCACAATGAAATCATTATGATTATTAAATGAAATGAGGGATTTCTCTTTAAGAACACTCATCTCAATGTGCACAGAAGAGCCATATAACTGTGTTATTAGATTCAAAGAAATATAAACCCTTTCCTTGATTAAGAATGTTAGGTCAAGAAACAGATTTGTTGTTTGTCATCAAGTCCATCTAAACTTAACTTCAAAACATCAACGATGTCCTTGGGTGGAGCTTGATTTATTTTTTCCAAAGCACTTTTCCACTCTTCTTTCCCTCTGCCGTAGAGAAAGCAACCTAGTACTACCAAGGCTAATGGATTTCCTTGACAATATTTCACTATTGATTTTGATAACTCCAGATGATCCTTAGACGGCTCAATTCGTTTGAATGCTTTCAAACTAAAGAGATGAAAGGCATCATCAAAATCTAAATCCGGAACATGATATGTTGAAAATGCAGAAGCATTCTTAAGCACTTGCATGTCTCTTGAATAATAATTCTACTTCCTTCCCCAAACCAATCACACACTTTGCTTAAATTGTCAGCTATTTTTGAATTGTCTCTTATAAGAAGAATCTTTTTGCGTCGAAGCCTACTTTTCACAAAAGTAAATGTCATAGATACTAATGTCATCAATAATTCTCTGAGGCAATTTTTCTGTAGCTCATCCAAACTAATTCTTTTTAATTGCTCTTTGACATTTTCAATAAAGGAGAAAGCATCAAATTGAGCTTTTAACTCTTGAAATATGGCTTTAGCAAGTGTAGTCTTACCAACACCACCCATGCCCCATATTCCTACAATGCCAGCCTTTGGTAGAAGTTTTCAATATTTTCAATATGACCAGCAATGCCAACAAGTCTTTCAAGATGAGATGATGAATTGTACCTTAACTTGCTCAAAGTGTCTCTAACAATCTCTTCAACAAGTTTGAATTCAGGTCTAGCAAATATGTTAAACAAGAAAAAGGAATATTTAATAGGTAGAAAATTAAAAAAAAAACTACAATAATTTGTTAGAATGTTAGAATTAATTAAATAAATCTCCAAAACCAACACAAAGGGAACATTTTCGAAGCTACCTGGTAGCATTGGAATGCCATCCAGAGAGACTTGTAGATTGGATTAAAGCATTTCTCCACTTTTGCAAATTTTGTTGGCTGTCTTTAAATCTTTGCTTCAACACATCAAATCCATTTCCAAAACTCCCATTTTGTTTGCGTATGTGTGAAGGGTCAATGTTATAGAAGATAGGTATCACAACCCTTCCAAAGTTTTTCTTGCATTCTAATATGTGAACAAGCTCATCCATACACCATCTCGAAGAAGAATAATTCTCAGAGAAAATAATCATAGATATTTGAGATTCTTCTATTGTTCTCAAAAGAACTGGTGAGATTTGTTCTCCTTTGCGGAGTTCATGATCCATAAAAGTGTGAATGCCTGCATTATGAAGTCCTCTGTAGAGATGACTTGCAAAAGTGTGGCGAGTGTCTTCTCCTCTAAAACTGAGGAACACATCATACTTGGTAGCAGGAGGGGAAACCGTTTGAGTTAAAATCACATCATCTTTAAAACTACAGATGGAAACGAACCGTGAACAAATATTCGGTTGTAGCTTAGGAAAAAATCAAACAAGAAAATAGAGTTTGATGAAGTTATTTAGAAGAAGCTAGCTACCTATCATCAACAGCATCAGGTTGGCTACCATAAAGCGAAGGAGATATGTATCTGATAGCTTGGGAAATTGATAAAGCCAATAGGATCAACAAAGCTTCTATGAGGGTTAAAGCAATGGTTCCATCCATGTGATAGCAATTTCTAGCTTCAACCTTCAGTAACCTGAAACTACCAAAAAGTTGATTAGATCTGTGCCAGTTGATTAGATCTATGCCAGTAAGGTAGCCAGAGGCGGGACTCGACACCAGAAGGAAGAAGAAAATGACAAAATTTTTTGCAGAATTTTTCCTGTGAAAAGAAAATAATTGCAAAAAAGTATATCAATGGGAAGAAGCAAGTGGAAGAGAAAAAGAAAAGAATATAATGGGTAGTATTAACCTGGCGGATGTGGTGGGAAGCAAAAGAAGGTAGCCCACAAGCTCTCAAAAATGTCAGCTTCAAGCTTTGCAGACTTCCTCCACTTCAAACAAGTTCTTCAGATATACCCATTAATAAAAATATATTGTTGAATGATAATTATATTTGTTATGAATATGAATTTATTAAAAAGTACAGAGAGTAGCATTTTTCACTGCATCTATTTTTTTCCCCGTCTTCTGCTTCATTTCACAACAAAATGCGAGCATCATGAGTAACGATAATTACAGATTCGGTTTTTTATTTTTTATAATGGGTAGTATTAACCTGGCGGATGTGGTGGGAAGCAAAAGAAGGTAGCCACAAGCTCTCAAAAATGTCAGCTTCAAGCTTTGCAGACTTCCTCCACTTCAAACAAGTTCTTCAGATATACCCATTAATAAAAATATATTGTTGAATGATAATTATTATATTTGTTATGAATATGAATTTATTAAAAAGTACAGAGAGTAGCATTTTCACTGCATCTATTTTTTTCCCCGTCTTCTGCTTCATTTCACAACAAAATGCGAGCATCATGAGTAACGATAATTACAGATTCGGTTTTTTATTTTTTAAATTAAAATATTGTTCGAAGTTTTGTAAATAAGAAATCATTATACGATAACTTCCTTTCATTCGTAACCCGCCAATAAAGATCAAACGCCTATAAATTTGTAACATGCGCGCTAACATATACTATCTTCGCTCCTACGAACTAGATCTTCTAATTAGAATAATGTTAGATTGTTATCTGAACATGAAATGCGTAGATGAACGAAACCAACATCGTGAAAATGAAAATGCCTGTTGAATTATAAGAACTTAACAGTACGGAAAAGGACATGAAAATAGGCTTGTTTGATTTTATTCTTTATGTTTCTAGAACAATTTTGTACAGTAATTTTTTTACAACATACTTTAAAATTAAAAAATTAAAAAATTGTTTGGATCATTATTTTAAAAAACAAGTCACATAGTTTTTGAGCAATATACAACATATATAGAAATATAGTTTTCAAACCTGAAGTGTTTGATTTTTCTGGCAAAAAAAAAATCTAGTTTGATTTTATTTTTTTATTTGGGTTAAACAACATTTTTGTTCCAGGGATTTTCACAAAATTTTCCAAAAGAGTTGAGTACTCGAAAAAAATTTTCCCCCCAACAATACTGTGCTGAAAGTAGTAAAACCGTAGAAATCTAATAGGAGAATTACTAATAAATTTTAATAATAAATGAGCAGTTCTTATTTCTTATACTAAAATTTGTTATTATTTTATAGTTACTAAAATTTTTAAATAATTATATTCCTTTTCCTGTACTTTGCGACAAGTTTTCCAATGTCAGTCTTACCCAAATACCCAAACAGATGCAAAGGGACAAAAATGCTGAGTTGACTCTCTCTCATAGCATGCCACATGTATTTCACATATTATGCCACGTAATAAATATAAAATACCAAACGTGCCATCAAAGAGCCACCCAATGAGATCGTCGTGGGCAAGATAAGAATGGAGTTTGAATTAGAACCACTTTTCAGTATTCATCATCTCCGATGAACATCTTAAATTAATCAGATTTAGATAATTTATAATTAATTTTAACATTCTAAATTTAATATCTTTAATTAATTATTTTTAAATAAAAAATTATTTTTTAAAAAAATAATAGTTAAGAGGTTATCTCTATTTTAAATTCTATACATATTAAAATAATTATTATGGATAAATAAAAAAATTAAATTCTGATTATCTAAATAAAATATAAATAATTCGGATTTAGCGAGCTTAGGATGGTGGTCAAAATGATGGACACCGAACCTATTTCCAATTTGAATCTATCGCGTCCCCCCTCATGTAGTCATGTTGAAAGAGAGAAACGGAACGTCGAAGCTCTTCAAAATGGGGGAAACGCGTAGGATTTCTGCCGGTGTCGACTCCTCCGTTTCAAACCATAGGAACAGATGAAAACTCGAGAGAAGATCTTAATGCATCTTAAACAAGAAGGGATCGTTTTGCCACGATGAAGAGTTCAATAACAAAACCCAAGACCTCCATTGCTCAGTTTTTCCGAAAGGGCTTCTCTCTCCTCAATTTCCCTCAATAGGAATGCCTAAGCTGTCAGATCTAGCGAGAAGAAGGTGCCCATTTCTCAATTACGAGCAAGAGAAACAACGGCAGTCACTGTCGAAGAGGCACCGATTGAAGCAAAAGAGAAGCGAGTGGCCGAGACGCTGCCGACGGAGGTGCCAAGAATGGAAGCAGCGAAGGATAAAGAGACCTAGCCTTTGCCCCAACGAAAGCTACTCAAGAAAATCTAAATCCCCTAGACCCGAGAAAGGCAGAAGCCAGATCGAGTTTGATCAGTTCACAGTTTGGGTTTTCTCGGGCAAGTTCCACATTGCTACAGTGATTAGCTGACCGTTTGGGTTGCAGATATTCATAACTTCCATCAAAACTAGTTGGACAAAAATAACCTTTAGCTCAATTTATTTTAATATTTTAAAAACAATCATGTAAAATAAATTTTTAAAATAAAAATTTAAAATATATATAGATATATCTGAATCATTATTTTGAAATATTTAAAATGATAAAGCGAAGGGTAAAAGAATAGTTTGTTTTATTTGTATGATTGTTATTAATGGAAGTACAATATCACTAAAAAAAACAGCTGATTAGCGACGGAATTTGCAACAGAAACAAATTCCGTCGCTAATTTGAGACAGAATTGTTCCGTCGCAAATTAGCAACGGAATTTGCGACGGAAAGTCCGTCGCTAATTTTTTTGATGGATTAGCGACGGAATTTCTGTCCGTCGCTAATCTATATTTAGCGACGGAATATTTTTCTGTCAGACAATTCCGTCGCTAATCCATCAAAAAAAATTAGCGACGGAATATTTTTTTGTCAGATAATTCTGTCACTAATCCATCAAAAAAATTAGTGATGGAAATTCCGTCGCAATTCCGTCAGAAATTAGCGACGGAATTTGTTTTCGTCGCAAATTTTAAGAAATAAATTACATAGGATATATATATAAGTAGAAAAATACTGTTTATCATAATCTATTTAAATCATTTAATTTTTTATATAGAATAATTTATTAGATTTTATTATAGTAGTTATTTTTGAATTTTTGAATAACAAGATTTTTTTGACTAATTGTAAATGATTTTTTTCAAATATATAAACCACATATACATAATATAATATAATGAAATATAATATATTAATTAAATTGTATATCTTATCAATGTTAATTAAAAAATAAATTAAAAAATATTTATGAAAAATTATTTATGATGTAAAATTCAAAATTAGTGTCGTTAGAAATTAAAATTATATTAAAAATATTTTTAAAAAATAAAACATTATAAAAATAGTAAAACAAATATTTAAAAATTATTTTTTCATTAAAATAGTTATGATTAAAATTATCATATAGTATATTTTTAGTTTTTAATAATATATATTTATATATAATTGTTTGTGTAAAATAATATAATATATATTTAATTTTACATAATAAGTCAACAGGTTCATTACAGCTCAACTGGTCAAGCCACACGTGTGCACGGAGGAGGTCCTGGGTTCAAGCCATGAAGAAGTCACTTTGAGAAGGGAATTATATGTGGTAGTGACACGCGGCGCACATGTGGCAGGCGGAGGTGAGGTGGCAGCACACGTGGCAATAGATGTGAGGTGGCAGCAACATGTGGAGGTGGTCCTAGTGATGACATGGCAATTGGTAGAGGTGCCACGTGGCATTTTATTTTATTTTTAAAAAAATTGAGTTAGTGACGGATTTTCCGTCGGTAATTAGCGACGGAAAAATTCTGTCGCTAATTCCTTCACTAATTAGCGACGGAATTGAAATTCCGTCGCTAATCAATTAGCGACAAAGGAATTAGCGACAGAACAAATTCCGTCACTAATCCGTCGCTAAATTCCGTCGCTAAAACCATGTTTTTTTGTAGTGTACTATCGGGCTCTTCTCTAATTTTATATTTAGAAAAAAATAGGAAAAATGACAAATAAAGATCCCCGAATTACCAAAATTACACAGAGATTACCTGAATAAGCAAAATTACCATGAAGGATCCAGTCTCACATTGTAAATATGAAATCTTGGTGAAAGTTCTGAAATACCCCTTAGCCAAGTTGTAATTTGATCTATTGAAGTTGTCATTCGCTAAAATAAACTTGATATTTCCCATAGTCAACTTGTTATTTGATGACATCCTTTCAACCAAGTTGTGATTTAGTCTATTAAAATTGTCATTCACTAAAGTGAACTTGTCATTTTCTATAGTCAACTTGTCACTTGACTAAGGGGTATTTCAGACATTTCACTAAGATTTCATATTTGCAATATGGGAACGGGTCCTTCATGATAATTTTGCTTATTCAGGTGACCTCTGTGTAATTTTGAGAATTCGGGAGTCTTTATTTGTGATTTTTCCAAAAATAACATAACATTAAAAAAAAAAACATGTTGTATTTTTTGTTTTTATAATAAATTTTAAAAAATGTGTTTGCAAATATGCTTTTTCTAAAAACAGAAAACTGTCTTAAAAACACAAACCAAATAGACTTAACTTTCGTTAGATAACCACAAGGTAGTTGCATAATTTTTGCAGAAAAAGAAAATCAAGCAAGATTTTAATTTGCAGAATTTTTTCTGTAAACAAACCCTAAAACCCAAGGAGAAAAAAACTGGACCGGACTGGCCAGGTCAACCGGAAAATCAATGAACTGGTCTGAGGTCCGGTCTAGTTTAACTTAAAAACTAGCCCCCAATCAACCCGGAATGAACCGAAAAAAAACAGGACAAACCGCTGGTTTGACTGGGTTGGCCAGTTGTTTTTTCCCCCTTCTTTTTTGCTCTCA